TTCTTGATCAACTGCTAATTCCCTCTCCTTTCAGCTTTCTCTGTTCCCAGGAAACTTCTGATCTCTCAGGCCAGGATAGGAACGTCTTCTGATGTGTGATGTGCATGTCTCTTATTTACAGCATGGTTCAAATATAAAACTCATGGGCTCCAGGAAAGGTGACTGGATCTTGAAAGGCTGTAGCTTCACCAATGAATGAATCTGTGGCTGAGTGGACTGTCAGGTGACAGGTGATGGGGCCCAGTTACAGGAGGCTGGTCCCATTTATCTTCTCACTTGCCTTTTCTTGCTCCTCTCAGCTTTCCACTGACAGAAGGTGAGTGGCTCCACTCCACCTATACCCACAACAGGTCCATAGCAACGGAATCAACTGTGCTGGTCAGTTTTTGTCAAACTTAATATAAACTGGAGTAACCTGAGGAGAGGGAATTTCAGTGAGGACTTGCTTTCATTGGATTAGCCTGTGGGCAAGTCTGTAGAGCATTTTTTATAAATGATTGACATGGAGGTGATACCACATCTGGGAAGGCTGAGCCAGTCATGGAGAGCAAGCTAAATAGGGAACGTTTCTCTACAGTGCCTGCTTCAGTTCTTGTGTCAGGCTCCTGTGTGGCTTCCCTAAAGGACAGACCTTAAGATGTAAGCTGAAGTAAACCTTTCCTTCTCGAATGTCTAGTGTCACTGTGCTATTGCTGTGAAGAGACACCATGACCATGGCAACGTTCACAAAAGGAAGTATTTAACTGGGGCTTGCTTACAACTTCAGAAGTTTTGTCCATTATCGTCACAGTGGGAAGCATGGTAGGTAGCACGCAGGCAGACATGGTGCTGTAGTAGGGCTTCAGCTGAGCATTTGACTGACATTGAGGGCAATGGGCCTGGCTTGAGCTTCTGAAACCTCAAAGCCCCAAGTGGCACACCTACTCCAACAAGGCCACACCTCCTAATAGTGCCACTCCCTGGTGACCAAGCGTTCAATTCTGTGAGCCCACTGCGACCATTCCCATTTACACCACCACACCTAAGTTGTTTTTGGTCAGTGTTTTATGACAGCAACAGAAAATCACACTGGGACATCAACTGACTCAGTCCTCTGACTCCATGAGCCAATTTACAATATAATATTTTCTGCTGCAAGTTGTTTTTCTCATCTTTTTGGAGACAGTCTCTCGATGGCTTGGATCTCACCAAGTGAAGTAGACTGGCCAGCCAGGAAGCTGCTTGTCTCTAGTTCCCAGTGGGGTCACAAGGAAACTGCACCATGCCCAGCTTTACATGTGGGTTCTGGAGATGGAACTCGGGTTCTTGTGTTAGATGAAGTTCTTTTACCGACAACACATCTTCAGCCTCCAATGTCACTGAATATGTTGATTTGAGAGGAAAAAAAACCCTTCCTGGGTAAAATCCATGTGTTTGGACTGTGCAAGTCCAGTGAGCACATCAGCAAGGATGGCATACCATGCTGGTGGGATTGGTATTTTTACACATCCCGTGGAATGATTGTGGTGCTAATAGGTATGAAGACATATTATGTGATGTCTACCTGATCTAAAGGTTCAAGCTTATTGTTAATGCCATATTTTTGATTCAGTTAATTCTCTGTGTCAGTTTGTTGTTGTTGTTGTTTCAAATACTTTAGACTGCCATTCAGTACCTGTGTAAGATGCCTGACCTCTTGCCTCGGTCGGGGCTGTCGTGTGTTACAGTTGTTATACCGACTTGTGTGGAGATCATTTCACATTTTCCATATCTATTTTCACTTTCAACTTGCCTGCATCTTTCCACCCACACTCTAACGGCAAAGTAAGGGGAATCAGCAAAGACTTCAATGGTCTCAATCTCCCAATTCAAAGACATAGACTAGCAGATTTGATTAGTAAACAGGGTCCACACCTCACCATCAAGAACAAGGACAGATACCACTTTATTGTGAAAGGACTGAACATGATTATGCACCAGCTTTTGTGAAGGTATCATCAGTGCATGCAATTAGTATATTTCTGTTTGAGTTCGGCTCACCTATGAAGCGTCTTTAAAGGACATCTGTGCCTTTGTGATATATTCAACTCTGGCTACTTTTTAAGCTTGTACAGTTAGTGTCCACTGCTTACTGGGTAATGCCTGATAGCATTCAGGCACAGGTCACCTGAGAGGTCTGTGAAGGAATCTGAGCCCTGAATGATGACATTTACCCAGAGGCCAACACATTGTCCACACACTGATGCCACAGTCAGTGTCGGGAATGGAGGTCAATAGGAGAGAGTGAGCTGGAGCTGAGGGCAGCTGGTGACAGGCTGTGCGTCCCTGCCCATGGCCTTGCACATAGAGAGGCCTGGACCTTCACAGGTCACTGATTCTGGAGTCCTCGGATCTGGCCTAGTGACTGGCACATAATCATTAATAGAATCTAGCTCCTTTGCTTTTCCCAGTGATATTGTGAGATTTTCTACTTGCATTTATAGGGGTCCTATGTTTTGATTGCATTCTCTTAATTCCCTATTGTATTTTCAATCCAGTAGAAGAGTTTGGCCCAGGTAACTGGGACCCTAACTGAGGCCAATGCCCTCTGGAGTCAGTGGTGATTTGCACAGAGAGAGCAGGAAATGACATGCCCATTCATTTTTTTAAGTATGAAATTATCAAATCTAATATAGAGTAGAATCATGAGATCCCATGTTTTTAATAGATTTGAAACACACCATTTTATGCATATAATGATTTCCTGATAGGAAAAACAGTGTGGTATAATCACTGCAACACTGTCCTACCTAGCAGTTTTAAGAATTATTTCAGAGTCTTTCAGAACCTGCTCAGGGCTGTCTCCCCAGCTAGTTGTAAACAGTGGGGAGGTTACTTTACCTTACCACCACACTCCATTGGTTTCTCCAATTCTGAACTGTCGTCAGGGATTTTATTCCTCTGAGTAGTTTCCAGGTGGAGGGACCCCTGGGCTATTTGTACTAGAGGACTGATGACTTCCCTTTCTCTGGGACCAAACACATTTGATGAACACTCTGTACCCAACCCTGTTATAATGACTTACATCATAGGTTTTACTGGGCAAAGTTGTGAGGGAGTTTGGCAGTAAGGTTTGGTAGTATTCTCTGTTTGAAGTGGCCCTTGCGAGCTTGCATGTTTGGCTATCTTGTCCCCAGCTGGGTGCTGTCTGGGGACTTCCCTGGACCAGGTTAATAGGGCTGGGTCACTAGCAGTGATGGCCTGTCCCTACTTCTGGTCCGGTTTCTACTTGCTGACTTACCACCATGGAAGGTGTGCTGTCCCACTGACCCACTCCCACTGAACTGCCAAGCGTGTCCTCCCCGCTACAAGGGACTGGACGCCCTGAAACCTTGAATGAAAATAAAGCTTTCTTTCATTAAGTTGCTTCTGTCTAGTATTTTGTCATGCTTGAAGTTTTGTTAAGAATTCACAAAATTCACTTGACCTCGGGACTTGTTTTTAGATAACATTTGTTATCCAGAATACATTTTGGGGGAGGCTGTTCTAGTAGGAAAATGTTGTCTCCAAATAGCAAAATAGAAATGTTTAACTTATGTTGGAATTAGATAAGAAATTTATAAAACTAAGAACAGCCAAACAGAAAGTCCCTCTAATACACTGGGAAAAGGAAAGACGGGGTAGAAGTAAGATGTGAGGAAGTCAGGGAGGCAGCTTGCCGGGCAGCACTCGGTTAGCAGGGAGACAATTCCCGAGGCAGCACTGGGTTAGATGCCCTTTATTTGTGAAAAATGGCTAAACAAGACTTCAAAAACACCCCCAGTTAAGCAGTTGCACTGCACCGACATCTTACAGATGTCCTCATTTCCATGTAGTCTTAAAATATGTTTATTTTATTTAAAAAAACACATTTTGTAGTAAATAACTCACAATAGAAGGCAGCACACAGCTGGTTTAAGGAAGCCATTCAAATGCTTTCCCAGTCACAAACTGAGCATGTGAGTAGAATGGCCATTCAGAACCGACTGGACTTTGCTTAGAGTCGTACCCATTCATCACCAGCTGTATTTCTGTTCACATGTCCAGCACAGGGAAAGGCTAGGACAGAGTTTGAAGCTGGGAAACTTAGCCTTCTAATCCTTTGTGATGTCCACTCGTCCTTTGCAGTGTTCTTTCTTCATTGCCCAATCCTCTCATTCGCTTTTGCAGTGTGCCACACACACACACACACACACACACACACACACACACACACACTGCCATATTACAAGCTAGGATCTGCCTATGAGGGGGTCATGAGAGCTTGGTTCTTTCTGAGTTTGGGTCATCTTGCCTAATATTAAATCTCTACCTGTTTTCCTAACAGTTTCATAATTTTTTTCTTTACGGTTGAATGCTATTCCATTTTGTTTATGTACCACATTGTCATTGTTTATTCATTGTTGGGGACACCTGGGCTGGTTCAGTTTCCTTGCTGTAGTCAATAGAGTGACACTTTACACACAGATGTGCCAGTTTCCCTCTAGTCGGATGTAAAGCCCTTTGGGTATATATGCCCAGGAGTGGAGTAGCTGGATCATATAGCATCTGCTTAAAAACATGATTGGTTAACAGTGCCAAATGAGGCCAGCAAGGATAATTGTTCTCCATCCTGTCCCTCCTCTGTCCTCTGTGGGGCATAGGAGTGACAACAGAGTTGGGGACATGGTATGAGGACTCTGTTCTCTTTCCTCTCTAGCTCAGCTCACGTGATGACCACACAGCTTCTTCTATACCTTCCTGATCTGCACACTGGATCAGCACCTTGCTAGGCAGGGTTTGTGTGTGTGCTTGTGGTGTATGTGTGTGAGAGTGTGTGCATGTGTGTATGTGTATGGTATGTGGTGTGTGTATGTGTATATGCACATGTGTATGTGTCTGTGGTATATGTGCATGTATGTCTGTTTGTGTCTGTCTGTATGTGGTGCTCTGTGTGTGTGTGATCTGTGAATTGTGGGAATGCTTTGATCTCTGATTCCATAATTTTTCTCCATTTCTTACAGTCAAACTACAACTCCAAGCAGAAGAGAGAGGAGTTGTGTCTATCAAGGGAGTGTGTGCAAACCGGTACCTTGCTATGAAGGAAGATGGACGGCTGCTGGCTTCTGTGAGTAGCTTTCTGTGAGGGGGTTTCATTAGCTCTGTGCAGTTATTTACTAGCATTGGTACTGGATCTCTGGGTTTCATGTGCATCATTTTATCTGTGTATTCCCTAGATAGTAGCAAAGTCCAGTGAAGTCCAGGCATTCTGCAGCCACAATGGCTCCAAATCACCATGCTTTTTTTCTCTGCAAGATAGTTGGAAAAAAGTCTCTCTTATGGCTGTTTAAAGGCCATATAAAGGCACATATAAAACTTGGTTATTAGTTTTGAAGCTTCTTCTTTAGACTCATAGGAAATATTTGTCCTTTAGAATATTAGTTGAGAAAGTGGGCTTCTAGCCAAACACAGATGCTGGCTCCACCCCTTGGTCACTGTGTGTTCTTCAGCAGATTATTCTGAGTTGGTCCATCATGTGTATCACAGGTACCCTGACCCATCTGAACACAGCTTTGCAGGGATTTAATTGAGTATTACATATCATTTTTACATCGTATCATAGCTAGTCAGGGCTATAGCTCCTCGCTAGTAGTCTTTCAATGAATAAAAGCTCTGCCAGTGTATTCTTCATTGTTAGAACCAGAGGGTCAATCTGTTGGACACACAGTGTGTAGGGAATGGTACAGTAAAGACATAGGACACAGGGTACATTTCTGCCTCCTACTGGAGTGGGTAGAACGTGCAGAAAGACCTGATTGTATGGATTTGAGAATGGCAGTAAGGGCACTGTGCTAACAGGGCAGTGTTCTTACCCTGAGCCATACCCTCAGCTCTGCCTAACCTCTCTAGCTTTCCTGGTAGACAATCTCATATCACCGAGTGGTCCCAGTATTGTCACCTGTATACATTGTTCATATCTTTTTTATTTTTTTCTGAATGCAGGCATTTAGATTTCGGAGACAGATTTTTCTAATCATCAGTTTTTAGATCCATCATCTGACAGAGATACTGTTATCAGTGAACACAGGGTTGCTGATTGCTGTTATCAGTCAATGACAGATTGCCATCATCAGTCAAGGTGAATTTGGCAGGATAATTGACAAAGCTGTATGCAGGGCTCATAATTGCCATTTGTTAGCTGAAAACATTTTAAGACCCTCTTCAAGAGTAGCCCATGATCATAGAGTGTACAGGATGCCAGATGTGCTAGACAGTAGCCTTAAAGAGTGCCATGTGTTCTTTGCCCTAATGGATCCACTGTGTAGGAAGGCAAAGGTGTAAGTATTGGTGTAGTTTGTGGGCACTTTGTTGAGTTCTATCGGTATTTCACATACATGCATAGTAATACAGGAGAAGGTTGGAAGCATTGCAATGTAAGAAGTAATTTAGGGAAGAAAGTGGCTAGCTTGTGTAGAATTCATGGAGGTGACTTGTAAGTAGAGTGTTGGATGAAAAGAACACCAGGCAGGGGTAGAGCGGAAACTGTGGACACAAGAGGCTACCTGGCACGTCCCGAAAATTATGAGCCACTCACCCCAGCTGGAATGTGACCTGCAAAGGACAGAACACAATGGAAGAAGAGGGAAGGCTGGAGAGGCAAACAAGCTTGTCTTCAAGTCTTACATCACTAACCATGCTCACTGTGAGGCTGGAGGGTTTGCCTTCGGCTGAGAGCGCGCTGAGTGGCTCTGGGGAGGCTGGAGTGTCAGGGAGACTAATTAGAGTTGAAGAGGAAACACTGCTGTGGCCACTACAAATGTGGGCATCACAGGGACATGGGGAGGAGAGTAATGGTAGACAGAGGCACAAGACTCTGCGTTCTCTTTAAGAATGAACACTTTTTATTTTTTCCACTGCTGTTTATATATATATTGTGTACTAGCTGCTAGAGAGAGCTAGAACAGTGTCTTTTACCCCTCTATTTAAAATCTTCCTTCTGTACTTCCCTGCCCTTGTGACCTTATTTAGTGACCCTAGTTAGGACATTTCTCCTAGGGTTTATCTGCAGTTTTCCACAGTCACAGGATCACATCTGGGTTTGTGCTGAGAAAGGCACTGCAAACTGTCTGAACCCCAACAGAACACAAGCAGCATTTGCAGGGCTGTGTTGAAGTACACTGATCTTGTTTTGGTCATAACTGGCTGTAGAGTCCACTAGCCCTGTAGTCTTGAAATTCTACCCTTTGCTTTCCATTTCAATCTTGGTCAATGAATGCCTCACTAGGGTGAGAGTAGATCACAGTGAGTCTGTATGACAGTCACGAAAGGAAAGGAACTCGTCTCAAGAACATAGGCTGGATGGCAGGTTCATCTACAGTGGTTAAAAACACCACAGTTTTCAAGAGCTCCAGAGACAGAAGCTGCCCACCCGTTTACAAACAAGAGGAAACAAACTGAAGATGGCAGAGGTGAAAAATGAGTCTGTTCCGGTCTTCATGGGGGAATTCTGACCTTTTCTCTTGGCAAATAGGTGTGAAGCTTCATAATGTACTAAGAACTAGGTAGGGTTTCCGTTCCCTTCCTCAGCAAGGAAGAAACTGCTGCAAGATGAAAGCCATCCCATCTGGCTCTACCAACTCTTACTGGATTTTGCTCTCTTTAGTGCATGCTAACTCTCTTCATGATGCAACCAAACACTACTAGTTGATGCTACCAGACGATAAGAGTAAGAGTCAGTTTAGTAAAATTTAGAGATTTATCACAGACCCTGTGACTTATCAGCATGGACAAAACCCAACGGCTACACACACATGGAAAATTCGAGATTTATCTGGCTCTTCTGAGAAGGGTACAAACTAGATTGGCTGAGGCAACAGCTGGTGTGTGTTTTGTCCTCATCAGAGGGCCCAGTCTTGCTGCCAAGTCACAAACTAATTTCTGGCCTCAGCATCCAGTATGGCTGGCTGCCATGCTCTCTTAGCAAGTCCTTCTTCTCAGCTGGGCAAGGTGGAGGATCAGTCTTCTGATGAAGAAGTAAGTGCTGTACCTCACAGCAGGAGGGGTGCTGATGGCCTAGCTCAGTAGCTTTCTCTCTGAGTCAGATCTGCCAATACTCAGCTGTCAACAGCAGTAACTTCTGGAGTAACTCCAGTGTCCTGATCAGAAGCCATCATTTGGGGATGTGAATATGCCTTATGTCTGGAGAGGCTGTTTGTAAGCCTGTACTTGCCACAGGCATAAGTCCGTCCACCTTTTACCTTGCCCCACAACACCCTGTGTGTGCTGGCAACACTGAATGACAATGAGGTCATGATCACTCCTAGGTAGATAGTTGGGGAGAAGATTTTTATTGTAGATGTGAGAGTTCAGCCAGAGGCATCTGGAAGAGTCCAGACTGAGCATGGCCAGCAGAATAGACTCAGTCATGAGAGGAGAAGGGGGAGGAGAAGAGGAAGAGAAGAGAGATGAGCCAGGAGCAGAGGACCAAGAGAGAAGGAAAACCAAGAGAAGGAGGACCAAGAGAACCAAGAAAGGAGCCAAGAGGCCAGGAGGCAAGTGGACAAAGAGAACACAATGCCAAAACGGTCAGGTTATATAGGAGAAAGAACCTGGAGGAAGGACAGTGAAGCTCCGGGGGTAGGCGCTCTCTCTCTCTCTCTCTCTCTCTCTCTCTCTCTCTCTCTGTGTGTGTGTGTGTGTGTGTGTGTGTGTGTGTGTGTGTATGTGTGTGTGTGAGTGTGTGCTCGTGTGTCAAGTGGTGAGAGGAGCCCAGACTCTATAACAGGTATTTGTGGTGCCCAGGGAGCCTGGTGGCCTGGGTTCACTTGGATATGTTAATAGGCACCTCAGTTAGCTATTTGTCTTGAGTTTCTTTGGGATCTAACATACAGGCTCTATGATTCCTGTAGTGATTCTCCAACATACTCATCCTCTTGGGGACAACAGTACCTTAGTCATGATGGCTTTACTGCTGGTTGAAGGTATGAGAACGAACTCATACTGGTGTAAAAACAGTGGTCTAAAAGCATTCTGGTTAAGGATTGCTCATGATTTCAAACCATGTGTGTGTGTGTGTCCTCAGATGTGTAGATACACATGCTGTTGAGGCCAGAGCTCAGCCTTGGTATTGTTCCTTGGGTGCTGTACACCGCCGTGCTTTCTTTTTTCAAATTTCTTTTTATTTATTTACACTGTGTGACTGCTTGTTTGTATGACTACCACATGTGTGGAGTTATTGTGGAGGTCAGCAGAGGGTGGAATATCTCCTAGAACTGAGGTCATAGGTAGCTGTGTGCCTTGATTTTTTGAATTAAATTATTTTATTAATTTATATCCCAAATGTTGCCTCCCCTTCTGCTCCCCCCTCAGAGTTCTTTACCCATCCCCCCTTTACCTCTGAGAGAGTGCTGCCCTCCACCACAAGGAATCCCCCTTCCCTGGGACATTAAGTCTTTAGAGGATTAGGTGCATCCTCTCCCACTCTAGCAGAGGCCAGACAAGGTAGTCCTCTGCTACATATGTGTCTGGGATCTTGGACCAGCCGGTGTATGCTCTCTGGTTGGTGTGCCTTTTCATTTGTTTTGTTTTGTTTTTTTATTTGTTTGTTTGGTTTTGCACAGGATATCTTGCTGGAGCTTGCAAAGTAGGCTAGGCTGGCTGGCTTGCCAACAAGCCCCAGAGACCTCCTGTTTCCACCTCTCCAACGCTGGGATTGCAAGCATATGACACCATATGTTCTTTTTTCTTAAGATAGGGTCTTATTATATAAGCCCTGGCTAGCCTGGCACTACCTATATAAACCAGGATGGCCTCCAGCTCACAGAAATCCACCTGCCTCTGTCTCCTAAGTGCCGTGATTAAAGGCTGGTGCTCTCATGCCCAGAAATGCTAGGCATTTTAAATTTGAGTCTGGAACTCAGATTCAGGTTCTTGTGCTTGGATGACAAACACCCTCCCAGCATCACTCCAGTCCTTGAAAACATGTTCTAAAAAGACTTTCTATGTTTCCAACAGCTGTACCTCTGCAAAGGCCTGTATCTGGAGGCTGGAGTTGGAGCTCTTTGATGTGTGACAGGCTTCTTACTCAGTTTCTTATGAGGAGATGTTTTTTGTTGCTCTAAGTTACAGAAACCTAGAATAAATATTAAGATCAATGGTTCTACTGAATTCACAAAAAAATTATAGATTTAAACAAAGTTGCATCTATTAAGTTTAACTGTAGTTCTTGGTTTCAATACCAAATAACTTTGAAGGCAGAATGTGTAGGGAAAAGTATTGATGAGCCCCCTCTGTGAGGGGGTCTCTTGTGGCTTCCTATCTGAGGCTACAGATTGTGTCACCCTGGACAGGATTGAAGTAAGAGTCAAATGGTGCTTTTGTTGGCCCATGTAGTGAGTGCTGAAGGGCTGTGTTTTAATTAATCCAAAGCGTATTTCACACATAAAACCATTTCTGATTGGAGGAATCTTAATGGTGACATGAATTCTCCAGTGTAGAAAAGTAGGTAGTGTTTTAGGGCTCAGTGTTCAAGGCTCATTTTTGCAGTCTACACTGATCAAATTTGTCAGAAACAGAGAGTTAAAGACAAAGCTGCATCTTTGTAAAGAGATAAAACGCTAGACTGGATTAAATGCAGAGTAAGGCCAACAGAGAATTTCTGGTCTTGGAAATCATTCCCAACAATTCTCTGCAGCCTTTTTTATAAGATTGAGATCACACTGGCTCTTAAATTTTTCCCATTTGTGGTTTTTATTTAGTTCTAAAGTGCTCAACATGGATACTTACATCACATCTGTTTTTAATTCTCAGAAATGGTGTGAGCAAATGCATTCTGAGATTTCTATTGAGCAAACTCCTTCATAAGCCAAAACTGCAAGAATCAAAGTACTGTAAACGAGTAAACAGCTCAGAAAACAGAGCATGGGGAAATGGCCATAAGGTTCAAACCTAAAACTGAGCGGAGGACCAGAGCCAGTGTGCAAGCGGGAGGGGTGCTGGGAAGCCTTGAGGCATCTTGCTGTGTCACAGATGTTTCTTACTGTGTGGAGACCATCTGATTCAGTGAGGCCTAGAAAGGGTACGCAACATAGTCAGACGGCCTGCACATTAGTCAGGGATTGAGGCAAAGCTGGAGTCCAGGGTCCTGGCTGGCTGGAAGCCATCATGGATGTGAGGCCAGGGCCACTGGACTCTTGGAAAGGATCATCTTCTCAGTTTCCTCAGAGAGTCTCTATGCAGTACAGCTAAGCCATATTCTAGATTTCAGTTCAAAGCCAGGTTTTTCTGGTCCAGAATCTTATTCAGATTCTGCAACTTGAGTGTAGCTTTATTTTAAGCTATCTGTAGTATTTTATTTGCTTATTAACTTAGTACAAGTTTATTGATCTCTTCCTATGTGGGAAGTATGGCTATCATAACATATAATCAATCAAAATTTCCACAAGGGATTTATAGGAAGGTTGTCACCATGTGGCAGCTAACTCTCTTATTATTCTAGCTTTATTAAGTATTTGAGAATTTCTTACAATATATTTTGATCATTTTCTCCCCCATTCCTTCCCTAACTCATTGAAGAGTCATCTCTACCTTTCCACCCCCACCCCACCCCCCCTGCATCACTTTGTATTCTATTTTTTAAAAACCCACTGAGTTCAAGAAGTGCTGCCCATGTACTCCTGGGTGTAGGGGTCATCGTGGATCATGGTTGCCCTATTTGGGGCCACATCTGTTAGGAAAACTGATTCTCTACTCTAGAACAGTAAGTTAGAGGTGAAGGCTGGCAATCCCCTCCTACCTCCTGCGTAGAATGCTGACTGGTTTGATCTTGTGTCAGTCTTGTGCAGCGAACAACAGCTGCCCGTGAAAGCAGTTAAGAGATGATGCATTTTAAGGACACAAACTCAAGGGGCATACATATATAAACAAGCTGTATCTCTGGATAGTGGAGATAAAAATCACTCAAAAACTGCTTAAAATCAAGGATTTGCTTTTATTTTATAACAAGAGATTACTCATTCCCTGAAGAAATTATTATTTTCTGCACATGTATTATGGTGGATGTGGTGGTGTGTTTGGGGGTGGGGGCATACAAGCATGTGTACGAGGAGGCCCATGGTTGACATCAGGTATCTTTCTTGATCCTTGTCCACCTTATGTGTCAAAGCAGGGTCTCCTGGCAGTAGTAGGTCAACTTGACACAAACCTAGAGTCATTTAGGAAGAGGGAACCTTAACTGAGGAAATGCTGCCACCAGATTAGTCTGTGGGCAAGCTTATGGTATATTTTCTTGATTTTTGATTGATGTAGGAGGGCCCTGCTTACTGTGGGTAATGTTACGCTAGGGCTGGTGGTCCTTGGTGCTCTAAAAAAGCAGAGTTGGGCAAACCATGTGGAGCAAGTCAGTAAGATGCAGCTCTCCATGTTCTCTGCCTCTGTGTTCCTCTCCTGACTTCCCCCAGTGATGGACTGTGATGTGAAACTGTAAGACAAATTAAATACTTTCCTCCAAAAGTGGCTTTTGGTCATGGTATTTTATCACAGCAACAGAAACAATAACTAAAAAACAAGGTTTCTTGTGGAATCTGGAGTGATTTTGGTTAGGTTGGCTAGCCAACCTTGCACTGAGAATCCTGTCTGCCTTCCATATGCTGAGCTTAAAGGTAAATACCACTCCTACCTGGTATTTATATGGGTTCTGGGCACCTCAATTTTGTCCTCATACTTGCATAGTAATCACTTTATCCACTGTGCCATCCCTCCAGATGTTCTTTTCTAGTAACACTTGCAGGTCTAGGGGCTGGCTTTTTTGCATGACTTGTGTTTTATTTTTATTGTGTACTTTAATGTACTTAGAACGGACATGTTTGGTGTCAGTATATACTATATAATGATCACATCAGGGTAGATCTTTCTTAAGAATACAATTTACCCTTACAACAGTTTTAAGTTTGCAGTTAAGTCAGGAAGACTGCTGTTTCTCCATTAGGTGGCTGTCTGTCTGTCACACTACAATACCAGTAGCTAAAGTCCATAGTGACTTATACCACTTTAATTTCCCCCTGAGGATCCTATCCAGGGCCAGCTTTGGTCATCTGTCTTTCTAGTTTCCTCTAGGCAGTGACCATTTCTTAGACTCTCCTTGTTTTTCATTGCTTTGACAGCTGAGCATCTTTAGGATCCACTAGTTTGGGATTGCCTGGTGTTTTTCTTGTAGCTAGATAAGAGTTCTGCAAGTTTGAGAGGACAACCACAGAAGTACAGACGTCATCATTTGGCTGGAAAGTGGGCGTCTCCACTTCAGAGTTAATCTTTCCTCTCCTTGGGAAGGGAGTCACTAAGCAGGAGCTCACTGTTAGGGGATGGACCACCATAAGGAAGTCACCATGCAGCAGTTCACACCTAGGGGATGATGTGTTGCAGGTAGGAAGTCACACTCTGAGGACGGTGTGTTGAAGTAGGATGTCACCATGCACCTGTTCACACCTATGGTATGGTGTCTTGTAGGAAGGATGTGTAGGAGATCACTCTTACAGGGTGGAGTTTGGTGGGTTTGCTGTGTGTCCTTGAGGGAGGGAGTGTTATAAGTTAAAGCTTCTTTATATAGAAAATTTGTCTGTTCTCCATTTACTCTTTAGTTTAGCCATATTTATGTAAACAAAGACTGATTTTGTTACTGGAACATTTGCGAGTTCTTGCATTTGGCTCTGTGCTTTTGATACTTCTCACTGTGTTTATTTTGAGCACTTCATCACTCCTTGGGCAGCAATCCTTACATGTAAATCCCCTGCTGTAGCTTAGAGTGATCCACTTCTTCAAAGAGTCTTGCTCTTTTTATTGGAAGATGGAATCACATAATTTAGTATACTTGTTGTTTTGGAGCTGCTGTTGCTTCTAAGCTCTGTCAGAGGTTGTACATTACTAACCTTATACACATATGTATATATATTTCTGTATCTAACCATCTGAATCTGTGCTGTACTAAACATGGGTTAGTATGCCCTGAGGTCACCATCTCACCCTTGATCTGTTGGTATCCTGGAATAGTTTAGCCCTTCTCCTTGCTTGGTTCCCATCTCCACAACAACAGAGCCTTGCTCATGGTGTCTCTTCACAGCAGTAGAAAAGTAACTAAGACAAATGACTTCTTGGGATTATTGTATGTAGTACACTGTGGCATACCAAGTTCACTAATACTCTTCAAAATTCCATTTTGTAATTAGTGAAGGGAAAGGCCCAATAATTAAGAGCACTTGTTCTTTCAAAAGCCCCAGGTTTGATTCCTGGCATTGGCAGCTTCGGTTCTAGAGGATCTGATACTCTCTTCTGACCTCTGTGGGCACATACATATATACAGGCAGTATACTCATATTGCTGATTTGTCAGAAACCAATATATTCTGGGTTGCTTATTCTTCAGGAACAAGTCTGTTCTAGATCATGTATTTAGAAACCAGAATATTCCAGACTGCTTGTTCTTTGCTGCTGATTAGCATTTGGAGATTGTCAATCTCATACCATTCATTGTTTCAGAGTATTTTGACATCAGGCAACCTTAAATGTTTTCTACAAGACAAACTAAAAGCAACTTTGGTCACTAGCCAACATTTGCAACTTCAGGGAACTTACTCCGTCCCTCCTTCTTTGTGGGAAGAATACTTTGGGCTACACTTTTGACATTATTTCCCTTGAACCTCATGACAAGTGTAAAAGTGAAAATGTCTAACTGTAAAGCTGCCCCAGGGTTCAGGAGTGTGTGACACCTGCAGGAACATCCTTCCATGTTACAACATGTGGCCCTCCTGGGGTCCCCTCTACATTGAGGTTGTAATATGCAAGTCCCAGATAGTGTGGTCCTTTGCCCTCCATGAGGGGTTGCTGCCTAACACCTTGCTGATTGATCACAGGATTACTCCTGCCTAGGAGGCACTGTCCTATTCACACGGGTTCCTAGCATCATCCATCGGCAGAACTGTCACATTTTTGACCTGTGGTCTTGTTCCTCTCAGTGTTTGACATGAAAAACATAAAAACACATTTTCCTTTCTTTTTCAGAAGTGCGTTACAGAAGAGTGTTTCTTCTTTGAACGACTTGAATCTAATAACTATAATACTTACCGGTCACGGAAATACTCCAGTTGGTATGTGGCTCTGAAACGAACTGGGCAGTATAAACTCGGATCCAAAACGGGACCTGGACAGAAGGCCATACTGTTTCTTCCAATGTCTGCTAAGAGCTGACTCACTTTAGACACTGTCACTGAGAGAAAACAAAGGAATGTATACAGCCAAGTTTGGATGTCTTTTATGTAATAATAAGACACTTAACCATTACCTCAGTCAAGAAAAACAAGTTTTGGAAAATATTTAGACTTTCCCATTTTATATAGCTTTGGTTGTGACCCAGTGAGAATTAGAGCTATGATCTTGTTGACGTATTTCCTTTATTTGAAAAGAGGATTTAAAAATACGTACATTTATGGATTTCTGCCGCGGACATCATGTATGTAAGAAAACTGGTACCGGGTATGAATGTTGGCATTCAGTCTGTCCCCACCGTGGCTCTGTACCTCTCTGGCAGTTCCCTGTGATAGAGTTTGTAGAACAGGCCTGTGTACACTGCAGGGAATTCCTCCATGCTGAGGTCAATTTTGTCAAACCCTTCCCTGAGTCCATACAGCAGTAGCCTAGCCACCCTGCTAGTGATGGGTGTCGTGTGTTTAGTCCGGGCCAGGTTTTCTAGATCAATCCATTCACACTTCAAGCATTCCTGCTGGCAGAAGTTGATGGTGAAGGAACACGGCTGCAGGCGGCAGACCAGGTACATGTCTGACATCCCGAAGGCCCCAGGGCTCCTGTGTTGCTGCCTGATGCTCAACAGGGACCTGAATTCTGACTTGACACCAGTCTCTTCAAAAACCTCTCGGACTGCTGTGTCTGCTATATGAAAAAGAGAGAGAAAAAAAAAAGGTTTCATTCTTAGAGATGCCATCAAAGATTTTTCAGTTAAAATCTGGAAGTTTAAAAGCAAAATTTTGTCTTCAAACTGCTTTCTGGACGTTGTGAAATATACTTTGCACTTAAGACACTGAGAGTGTATTGGCAGTCACATCTTCTTAACTTCTTCCTGTTCTGTTTCCCAAAGGCAAGAACACATTTGCAAACCAAGCTGCAGTTAATATACTGACAAATCCTTTCCTATTGTCCTGTCCTGAGCGTCCATCAAACTGCCTGAGTTTGTGGACGTCTGAATTGAAAGGGCCCATCCCTTGTTACAGAAGTCTGTAGTGCTGAGCATACTTGAGTGAGCTGTGAAGTGACTGTGACTTCTTTGGGCTCTCAAGGCTACTGCCCCTAGGGCAAGGTCCTTTGACCCTGTCCTGGCTGCCAGTGGACCCCAGCCTGACAGAGAAACTGTGTTTCCTTGAAATCAGATTGTGTAGAACTTGAGACATCAACATCAAAATGCAATAGCTGTCTCATCAGAAATCTGTTGGTTGTTTAAACACCTTCTAATGCCTCTCCGGATGTTTGTTAGACAGCACATACATTTGTCTTGCCAGTAATCCTGCTGATAACACCTATGCAACGAAGAGCTATTAGAAGCACAAGGTTCCTGTGCATTCAAACCACAGACTGTCTTTCCTGCCCACTGCCACTAGGACATGTTCTTGTTCCTAAGAAACAGTTTTGGAAAGGCTCACAGGAAGAGCAATTTAGTCTAAAATATAAGACATCTACCTGCCATTCTTTAACTATTTGCTGACTTTCTCTGTGACTGAGATCTGTCCATAGGTTAAGCATGGCCAGAAATTACATTCCAAAACTGAAAGCACCAGGACTAGGCATATAGCTCAGCATGTAGAACACCTGCCTCACATATGTGAGGTGTTTGGTACAGTTCCCAGTACCACACAATGAGGGAGGGAATGGAGGCATCAAAGAACATTCTAGGCTCACAAAGTTTCTCTACTAAGAAAATAGGTTTTAATCTAGCATATAATACATTATTAAATTTATTACTAAAAATTGTGGCACTAGTCTTAAATGTTTATATAGTGGCTTCTAACTCTTGTTTAAATATATACTTATATTCTTTAAAGGTTCTAGAAAATAACCTTGGGGCTCCTGCTCAGTTCTTAGCACCACTAATCTGCCCTACTGTACGTAAGTTACAGAACAGGACAGAGTAAATGAGAGAATGGGTGTCTTGCTTAGCAGTCACTGTGGCACTATGGTGGTGGCAGGACAAACACTGTCTGGGAAGTCTGAATAGTTTAACGTGAATTGCACATCCCATACTAGCTGAAACCAGAAAATCCAAGCCAATAATTCTGCATCTGAGATGTGGGAAATCCCCCTCTTCCACCTCAAAATGGAACTCTCTCCCTCAGTTTCAACATGCATTAAGATTACCAAGATAAACTGTTATTCCTTTAGAATTATCTTAATAGACTTTAAACTCTGCTGAAACAATAATTACTGCACATGAAGAATCTACAAGCTCAGTTTTGCTGATGAAGAGCTGTGTCTGAATGTCAGACTGGATTGGTGAACAGCAGGACAGCAGACATTCTGAGCTTTCTCTGTTCTGTAGTACGTAATGAGAGAATGGCTTGAGATAGAGGAGAGTGATGGAAAACCTCCAGCTTGTGGCTTTCCTTGAGCTCCCTCTAGTCCTGGTGAACATCTCTGGCTGGCTGAAACAGGACATGGGTTTTACCCATGGCAATGACATATTTTAGGAAGGCCTTTTGTTCCTTTGAACCATACAGACACATTTAGACTCAAGCCTTGAGAACTTCAATTTGTTTTACATTTTCCCAACTTAATTTCTTAAAAACACTTTTCATATCAATGTCTCATCTACCTGGCATTATCAGAGAGTGAAAGATTCCAAACAAATGAGTTTCCAAGTTAACTAGTATTTATTTACTGGAATTTTGCAACAGTCTAATTAACAGCCAATGAACTGTCCAGGATGGCAACATTACAAAATTGTATTTCACGCTTTCCTAAACAAAGGTTTCAAGAATATAATTTCCATATGCTTTAGACAATCAGAGTGTTATTATTTTGTTCTGTGCTGTCAAACTGTGCTATAGAAATAGGCTGGAGAAGGGCAAGTCTAGGAAAATGGTGAATGTCAGCTTCTGCTTTTGTTTTAGTTCAGATGGGTGAGTTATTTTGATAACTATAGATACTTTAAGAAACAACTAGTAGCACATTTAAAATTATCTAGGCTTAAAGGAAGGATTCTGGAATTAAACTAAAACCTGAATTTATACATATTTAACTTGAAAATATGCTTTTCCCATTTATATCCAAGTCTGTCTGAAATTCTTAGGATCTATTAAACCTCAAAGGGGGAAAAGAAACCCCACCTCAGTTTGAAAAGGTATGCCTCAGGAGGGCAAGGCATGCAGGGCTACAGATGGCTCCGCACAGAGTGGAGGGTGAGAAGACTAGACGAGTCACCTCATTCATGTGCTTTTAATACCACATAGGTAATGATGGTGTTGAGAAATGGGAGAAAATGAAGAAGGGGGCTTTATGGGAAAAAAATGGCTCTGGCTCTCAGTATGTGGCATCCCTACAAAATACAGATTTTTTGCACATAGCATGGTCTAAGTAGCGTAGGCTGGCTTGATACACCTTCCTTCTGCCTCAGTCTCCTTAGTGCTGTGATAAGCAGGCATGTGCTATCACACCCAGGTCCTCAGAGTACACACAGTCAACAGACTACCCACCAGAGAACTAAGGAAACAGGTCACTGAGAACCTAACACCACGGTTTGTTTTCCGTCTCTGATGTCGTTAATGTTACTCACGGGCTGCTAGGAGCTGTACTTGTAAATACATACAGGGCATTTTGATCTGTACAACATTTAAAAATCAGATCTCATGAACATATACTCAAACACAAGCAAAAACAGGAGACTGCTCTAATACAGTGAGTGCCTGGTTTCGAAGAAACAAGAATGTGCTTATTAAAGAAAGGTCACTGAGAAACAATATTGGTATCTAGTGTATTATTTATCTAAAGGATGATGTTGAATTTAAGTGAATGGTTTAAGGAACAGCATGATTCCATACTTTGTAGATCAGTGACTAAGTGTGTAGTTCATTCTAGCTTCCTATAAGCTTATTTGGAGGGAGAGGGAGCCATGCTATTTCTCACTCAAGACTTTCTCATAGGTAATTCATTATGTTTTAGGATATTCATAATAAATAGCTGGCAAAAATCTTCAAAGGAGAATTATATCGCTATTTCCTTAGAGTTGGTTTTATTGTACTTCAAGTTTTTTCTAAAAATTATTATTCACCAATCTGCGATGAAATGGTCAAGAATTCAAAATTTAATAATTTTAGCCATATTTAAAACATCTTTATAATTAACTTCACTGATGAACATCTCAAGTTTCTCCCTTTCAGATGACCTCAGAGCACCATTAGAAAGGGGCTTCCCCATAGGTATAAACTATACAAGTGAAATGAGTGTGTTAGAAAGTTCTTGCTAACTTTGTATTACTCTGAAGAAATCTGTCTGAATTTTTCTACCTTAGTGTGAACCAATTAGAAATTTTAAATTCTTATTCTTAGCTACAAAGCAGGGAAGTAAACATATGAATTTTCTAAACATTTTCAAGTTTATCAGAAGTAAATAAATACCTACCAATATCTTCTCCTGGCTCTGACAGGCCTCCTGGAAACTTCCACATGTTTTTCAACTGCAGTGCAAAGTTAAAAAAAAAATAGTTCATGTCATGACTTTCTTTCTTTCCTCTCTCTACCCACTCCTACCTCGTCCACTCAGTTGGTCAAGGAAATAAACGCTTGTTTGTATTACGTTTATCCTACTCCCCCAACCCCAGCGTTCTTCCTACTTCATGTTTTCTTGTTCGAGGGAGATGGTGATTGATGAAGTCTTTTCCTTTTATTCTTCAGGAAATAGAAGTGGTATTATTTAGTTAATGTGATACAACTTGTATTAATTAACCTTTGGAGGGAAATATCTACCCAGTTGTGTACTTCACAGAACTTGGCTGCTAGTTAACTATGAACAGATAGGATCGTACAGATGCTGCTATGAGTAAGTAGAGTACAGAATAAATGTAACCGAGAGGTATGCTACTCTAGATTTTTACATGCATTTACTGTATTTTGTTTCTAATCACAAGTATTACTCAAGATTTCTGTGCGTTTATCATTTTATTGTAAAATGTAATTGCTTTTTATGGGTAGTATGAATAAAGTTATTTTGGTTTCTTGGCTATCATTTCTTTGTATTTCCTCATCAATCATTTCTTTTCCTTTTCTTTTCCTTTTTTTTTTTTGTGGGACGATGCTAAAGAGGCAAACCTGATCTTTGGAAGAAATAAGATTAGATTAAAATAATTATGAGCGGGCACAGGACAGTTTTCTCATGGCTGTCATGGTTGACTCCTTGTAGAATTCTGCATAAAGTATGTGTTCATCGTACTGTAAACCTCAAGAATGAGGAGTGACCTCATAAGCCAGCAGATTTCATACTCCTCATTCATAAAACCACTGTGGCCCTTTTACTGTGCACTGTGACCCTCTGGCTTCCTAGAAGCCTGCTTCTGAGAGCATGCATCACCTCTCAGCTATGTGGGCTTGGAGGTCAGTGGCCGGGTTCCTGCTTTCCATACACCACTGACTACTGGGTACAGAGTCCAGGCTTTCCATCCTTCTGTGCCCAACTCAGGTTTGACTTTAACCTATAAAGCATATTTACTTTATTAGTGTAGAAATCGACCTCATCTGCAGAGATGCATTGTCTTTTGGGTTACAGTTTAAAATGGTTCCGAAGTTTTGTTTCTATGGAGACTGGTAAGATATTGGACACTACAACCATAAACTCTATTGGTAATAAAAAAATGAACAATGTAACAGGGCATTTGAGAACTCGGTATTATTATAACATTAACCATCCCAAACACCATCTTCCTGTCATCACAGTGAAGCTTGCCCATAGCTGCTATTGGCATGTCAAGCCTAAATTCACATCTGGCTCTCAGGCACCCTCACAGTGTATCCCACCACGTCTGTGAAATTACATTCCCTACTCTTTAGTCACTAGTATCAAATGTATATACTTATGTCCCAATCCAAAAATAAAACTTATTAAAGGCTAGGGCACAATACTACTTTAGGAAGCACTTTATGGTAGAAAGTTTTATTTAAGTCAGAGATATGGCTTTAATTTAAGCCTCACAAATTACTTAGAATAATTTTAGATAGCATTTCTGAGAAACTATGTTGTAGTAATTCTATATAATGAGGAAATGTTTAATTTTCCAGCAATATTTAATGAAGGGTCAGTAAGTGTAAAAAGAAATACTCTTGCTCTGCTGGCTATAGTTTAGGGGCAGCATCACTCTGGTAGAAGAAACCCTCTCCTTCACTTTGACAACCATGCCTGGGCATGAAAACATTTCTAATAGTGGCTCTTCTCATAGTCTCTTGGGAGTCTTCTTTTAGCCTTAGAACTGTTACCAGTCTCTCTCAGGTCAGATCCCCTGCCAACATTCCTGATCACAGTGATGACAGCCACTGGCTGAGCTCTGTGCCTTCACAGAGTCAATTCTAATTTCTTGGTTTATTGCTCTATCCTTTAAATTTAAAATTTTGATTTATGTGTATGAGTGAGTGAGTGTGTGTGTGTGTGTGTGTGTGTGCATTCCACATGGATGATGATACCTGCAGATCTGAAGAAGGCATCTGATTCCCAGAAGCTGGAGTTGGAGTTACAGGTGCCTGTGAGTTGCCTGACATGGCTGCTAAGAGCAAAACTCTGCTACAGTAACAAGTGCTTTAACTGCTGAGCATTTCTCTAGTACCTAACCCC